CTCTGGGCATCTGTAAACATTGTTTCTCCCAGGATCCCAGCTTCAGCCTCCTTTTTTCACTGGTGACTTCCTCCATTACTGTGACTATCCTTGAATTGCTTATACCTCTCAAATCTCCATCTCCAGCCCAGATGTCCCCCTGCTCCCGGTGTAGACTTGGTGTATGTCCAAAGGCAGCCTGGATATCTTCACCTGGATGCTCACAGACACTGGTGTGCTGGAGTTAGCTGTGCCAGTTCACACCAGCTCACAAGAGCCCAATGTGTACCTCTCTTCCCAACTCCTTGTTCAGTGAAGTCATGTTGATAGTAGTAATTTTTAATTGTCTTGGTGGGAGTATTTACACCATGGAAATCGGCGAAGGCTTCAGATCAGGGCTCCCCTTTCCAGAAGAGCTGATTTTTAAACCATTTACTATACACCAGTGGTCACGGACATGTCACATTCAACACATTCAAAACTAAATTAATCCTCTTCTACGCCACCCCACCCTGCCCAACCCTACCCTTTCTCTGAATCTCGTGGCCCAGTTAATAGCATCTCCCACCCAGGAGCTTCTCCCGCCCTCATTCCGCATATCCAAAGATGGTCAGCTAGTTATGGTATAGGCCAAGCTGCTATAACAAAGAGACCCCAAAATTTGACGGCTTAAGAGACAACTTTATTTTTTTTTAAAGATTTTATTTATTTATTTGAGAGAGAGCACAAGCAGTGGGGAGGGGCAGAGGAAGAAGCAGACTCCCGGCTGAGCAGGAAGCCTGACGCAGGGCTGGTTCCCAGGACCCTGGGATCATGACCTGAGCCAAAGGCAGATGCTTAACCAACTGAGCCACCCAGGCACCCCAAGAGACAACTTTAAAATAGATCCTCCAGGACTGTGGGGGCATCTCTGCCATCCTCAACACCTAGCTTCCATCTCTGTGTCTAGTGTGGCCCAAGCAGCTTTCCACAATCATATCTGAATTTCATCCATTGGGAAGGGCGGTGGGGCGGAAAGCACAAGTTCTTTCCTGTTTAAGGACAACACTAGCATCTGCTCAGAGGTTGGCCAGTTGCAAGGAAGGCTGGGAAATGTAGTCTCTAGCCATATACCCAGCTAAAACATTATTAATAAAGCAAGAGGGGAGATGGCCATTGATGTAAGCTTGGCAATCTGTGTCATTGGTGGATACATCTTGTCCCTGCTCCCTCTTGTATATTGCTTAAATCCATCCCTTCTGCCGTATGCCAAATGCTATTACCCTGGTCCTCGCCTATATCCTGGCCTCTAAGATAGTTCCTCTCTATTCATCTATCAAATAGCTGCCAGACATATCTTTCTAAAACACAAATTAGATCATATAACTTTGTTGTTCAAAACTGTGCAGTAAGTTCCCTTCTCTCATGAGAAGGGCCAAACTTCATGACACACAGGCTGGGTCCTGTCCCCTCCCAGAATGCCTTCCACCCCCACTCCAATTCGACTTCCTTATCAGCTGGGAAAATGCAGTTCCATTTTCTCAGGCTTCGTTTCAATACTGCCTCCCTGACCACACTGTTGTTTGTGCCCCACTGCAATGCTGGCCCCGTTCCTATTGCAGCCTTTACTGGACTGTTTATTTCTGGGCACTCCCTGTGAAGCCAAGATACAAGCCAAGATATCTGGCAGAGGACTGGGGAAGAGCTCACCGAGCAAGGCAGAGACCCTCACAAGATGCCAAATTGTTTCCAAAGTGTGGGGTCTGAGAGTCCTGGCCCTACCACCTTTGACCTCATTACCAGATGTTCAGCTTTGGCCAACCTGAATGTAGGCCTGGAGGGTGTGCGAACCTCCAGATGATTTTGATGAATTTGTTTTGTTTTTAAAGATTTATTTATTTGACACAGAGAGAGCGAGCCAGAGAGGGAACACAAGCAGCGGGAGTGGGAGAGGGAGAAGCAGGCTTCCCGCAGAGCAAGGAGCCCGACGTGGGGCTCGATCCCAGGACCCTGGGACCATGACCTGAGCCGAAGGCAGACGCTCAACGACTGAGCCACCCAGGCACCCCAATGAATTAGTTATTTAACCCTCCATCTTCCAGCATAGACATTAAACCCAAGGAGAGTCACATCAAGTTATGTGAGCCATCTTATTCCTGGGTCTATCAGGCACCTAGAGAACATCTATGAAATGAATAGAAGCAAGGCAACATTTTCCCCAGGATCAATACTTTTCACACGCCGCAGTTCAAATCTGAGTTCTGTCATTTACACCAGCTAAGTGACCTTGGGTAAGTCACTTAATCTTCCCATGCCTGTTTCCCCTACAAAGTGGGGATAATAATCAGGCCATTATAAGAGGTAAATTACTTAACATTTGTAAAGCACTTATAATGCTTTACATCCAGGCACTGGATGTTTTGTGTTTGCTAAACAAAAATTGAGTTTAGGTATGAACGAATTGGTCTTTGGCCACTTTTCCAGTCTCATTTCCCCCTGACTGTAGTCTGTGCCACCAGCTCATCTGCAACCTTCCTTCAAGACTGAGCTCCTAACTCCACATATGTTCATGTCTCTAGAACTTTGCACATGCTATTCTCTGTGTGGAAGACCTTTCCCACCTTGTTCACCAGTGAACCCCTATTCATCCTTCACAATTCAGCTCGAACTTTGCTTCCAGAAGCCTCCCTGGACTCTCAGAAACAGGTAGCCCCTCCCTCCTCCGGGCCCCACTCCCCCCCCACTTTCATGCATGTCTGAGCTCCCCACTGCACCAAAACCCCTTGAGAGCAGGGATAGAGCTTATGCATCCCGGTATTCCCATGCCTTGCACAAAGATGTTTGCTGAATCAATGAATGGATAGTGAAATATATTAATAACATTTTACCGTATCCACTTACATAATACAATAGAATCGTAATACAGTACAATGACACATGAACATTGGCTACAGTTGACTGGTAGGTAAATCAAGTCCAGTCATGTAGTCAGCCAGCTGTAGTTTTTCCACCAACCATTAGAGGAAAATTCAGTTCTCATTACAATACTACAGATTTCTAACTTATGAATAATAGTAGTAAAGCCTCAAAAACTCCCAGGAACATTCTTAGGACCAGTGTTTACTGAACAGTCCTGCATGCCCAGCTCTGGCATCAGATTGAGTCTTCACTCCCAGCTATCCTTCAGCTAGGGACAGTGAAGCTTGGACCGGGACACAGAAGTATTATGAAATAAGGTCATCTCTCAACTGGTTGATGAGAGATTTGAGTTCTAGTCCTGGCTCTGCCCCAGTCGACTGTGTGACCGAAGACAGGGCCCTGCCTCTGTCTCGGGAAACCCCTGTGAAATCCAGGGGCCGGATCCATGATCAGTAAGGTTTCTCCTGACTTGGGGCAGTCTCTGAATCTGAGACCCTGACTGGGTAAAGGGATGGGCGATGGAGAAGTGAAGTTGTGTCATTAAATGTTAACAAAAGGAAAGGTGCAGGCCACAAATAGAATCACTTTCCACTCCAGTGTCCCTGTAAGCCTCACCTCAGCAATAATAATGATAACAATAATAATTATGTAAGATAAAGAAATGCAGGTGCCAAGAGGTCAAGGGGCTCATCTAGTCATCCAGGTCTCATTTATAGAGGCCAATGACTAAGTCACTCAGGAATATTTCAGTTTCCCAATAGAGTCAGCTCTTTCCCCTACAGCTCACCTCTCCCACTTAAGCCTGGAGACCTCCAGTCTGAGGTGCTAGGCCTGGACTCCCAACCAACCTTGGGCATGTGAAATGCCAGTGGTGCCAATGGGTAATCAATGAGCCACCTTAAACCATCCGTCCTTTGGGTGGGGACAGGTGAAGTCTCTTCCAGAGTGGGCATCTGGTGAGCACACTACTGGAGCATTGGCTGTTGCAAGGTACCCTCTTCCTGTGCCATCCATGGTCTTTTTTTGGGGGGGGGGGCTGAAACCCACCATCCATGGTCTTAATGCTCCCCCCACCCTCAGCAAGTAGGTGGGAGTGCCCTCAAAACAAACATTCATATGCATATACATACACACACACACACATCCTGACACGCATAAGCCCATACATACAGGCACACATCTACACACATGCTCACATAAAAGTCTCTCAGCTAAGCCAGGCTGTCAGAGATGCTCCTTCCCCTTTGCTATTAAAACTGCTGTGGAGGTGGTGGCAGGCCAGGAAAAGAGCTGGGGAGAAATAATGAGGAAAGGAAGCTAAAGATGGGTTAGCTGAGCACGGGTACACGTGTATGTATAGGACCCACGCACCAGGGATGGGAGAGGAAAAGAGGGGCCATTAGAAAGACAAGGGTGGTTGGGGCGCCTGGGTGGCTCAGTCGTTAAGCATCTGCCTTTGGCTGGGGTCATGATCCCAGTGTCCTGGGATCCATCGAGCTCTGCGTCAGGCTCCCTGCTCGGCGGAGAGCCTGCTTCTCCCCCTACCACTCCCCTGCTTATGTTCCCTCTCTCGCTGTCTTTCTCTCCGTCAAATAAATAAATAAAATCTTAAAAAAAAGAAAGAAAGAAAGAAAGAAAGAAAGAAAGAAAGAAAGAAAGAAAGAAAGAAAGAAAGAAAGAAAGACAAGGGTGGAAAGAAACGGGGAGAAGATGGAGACACACCCCCTCCTGTACTTCTTCTTCCCTTCTTCCTTTCCCTCCTTCGCCTGGTGATTTCATTCAGGCTTCAGTATGGCAGAACCTCGCTCAGGAGCCTGAGCATGGACAACTCTCCAGGACTATGGTGCCCTCTCCTCGACCCCATTTAAAAAAGTAAGGGAGCAGGGGCCCCATCAGTCATCCTGCGGCGTCCTGGTCTCCAGATGGACAAGGTTTCCATCTCTTTTGTACGCCTGCTCTCTATCTGGCTATTCCTGAGGGTCAGTCTCAAAGTCCTTGCTATCCTCCCCCAAATCTTAAAGTGGCGGTGTCTGCCCCTTTAAAGCAGCAGCCCCCGGTCGGGTTATTGTCTAGCCTTGCAGCCAATCGGCGGCGCCATTGGGGGCGGGGGATCCGGCCTCCTGATTGGCCACCGCGCGCCCCGCCCCGCTCGGGATCCCCGGAGCTGTCCGGCCGTCTCGGTGCTGATCCCGCCGCCGCCCACGGGCCGTGAGCAGCGCTGAGAGGGCATTATGAGCGGGGGCGTCTACGGCGGAGGTGAGCTAGCCTCGGGCTTCAGGCTCCCCAGCCTGTAGCGGCCTCACCGGCAGCCCTGCACCCCGAACCCGCGCGACCTAAGCTCTGGGCACCCCAGGGCCTGTCACCCCGGCGCTCGAACGGGTTTGGGTCCTGCGCCACTCCTACCTTGGTCCTCCCAGGTCGGTCGGTCGCTTGCGCGCCCTGGGCTCACTCTCCACCATCCAACTCACCTCCTCCCGCCCCCACCCCCCACCGGCCCCTTCTTTCCCGGCAAGGAGAGTGGCCTGAATAAGGCCACCGGGCAAGAAGGGACGCTGGAGTCTTGATCCCCACTCCCAGGACCCCGGATTCCAGGCCGAGCTCCCACCTGCCCCGGCAAGCGTTGAAGGTGGCGAGACTGTGGCTCTGCCCTGACCTCCTCTTGGAGCTATCCAGGGGGAGAGAGTTTGGGAGAAGTCCCCTCACACACCTGTCTCCCCGCACAGATGAGGTGGGGGCGCTGGTCTTTGACATTGGCTCCTTCTCTGTCCGCGCTGGGTACGCTGGGGAGGACTGCCCCAAGGTGAGCCTTCCAGCCCCGACCCCAAGTCCTAGGGGCTCCGGACTCCTCTCAAGGCTTCCCAGTGACCCAGGGTTCTCACAACACAGAGAGCAGCTCTGCAGAGCGGGAATGTGGGAGTAAACCCAGGGGCGGGCTGAGGGCCTTGCTATGGGCCTGGACAGGGGCAGGAGGTTGATCCCTCTTCCTGCCCATGCCCCCCTCCAGGCTGACTTCCCCACCACGGTGGGGCTGCTGGCCGCGGAGGAGGGGGGCGGGCTGGAGTTGGAGGGGGAGAAAGAGAAGAAAGGGAAGATCTTCCACATCGACACCAATGCCCTGCATGTGCCTCGGGATGGAGCAGAGGTCATGTCGCCCCTCAAGAATGGAATGAGTAAGGAGCCCCCACCCACCGTCTCCCGCCACAGACCCGGAGCCCACACACCACAACCCGGGACACATCACCCCACACCCATGGAGTCTACCTTGCAGCTGCCCACAGCTGCCTGGTTCCCAGCCCAGGGTCCCGACAGATACCTAGGAAGGGGGGATTTCTGCTGGAACTGGTCTCACTTCCCCTCACCCGGACTTGGCCTCCCTCCTTGCTTTGCTTCCTGTCCCTGGACCCCTGCCGGCCCACCTTCATCTCTCCATGCTGGTCTCCTGGCCCCAGTTGAGGACTGGGAATGCTTCCGTGCCATCCTGGATCACACCTACAGTAAACACGTCAAGTCCGAGCCCAACCTGCACCCAGTGCTCATGTCCGAGGCCCCGGTAAGTGCCTCACCCAAACCCTAGTCCTGCCCCAGGGGCTCCCTACCTCCTTTCTGCCATTCACTTCTCCCCCAAAAGCATCTGCCATCCATCACTCCACTTAACTTTTCAGACTTTTCTTCCAACTCCACCATCTTCAAGCACTTTTTTTTCCTCCCTGGTTTTAGTCTCTATCCCTCTCCCTCCTCCTGTTTTATCCATTCATATCTTTTGCCCATTCAGGCTTACCCACTGCTGTCCCCCCCCCCCCGCCAAAGTCCTTTTTGGACCTCTTAACTTAAAATTTTTGTCAATGTTATATAGGCACATAACCAATTTGCTTTATAAAGTATGTTAAGAAAAAACTGCCATTCATATCCTCTTCCTTCCATTCCTCTTTTCCAGAGGAAACTGCTTTTCTTTTAGATAAGTTTTGTCATGTTCTTCCATATCTCTAAATATCACACTCAAAATGCTACTTATGGATTTTATGGGTTTAGGCATTGATTCCCCACTGTAGAAAATAAACATTGAGGGGCACCTGGGTGGCTCCATCGGTAGAATGTTGGGACTCTTGATTTCAGCTGAGGTCATGATCTCAGGGTCATGAGATGGAGCCCCACCTGGGGCTTCATGCTGAGCTGGAGCCTGCTTGGGATTCTCTCTCTCCCTTACCCTATGCTCCTCCCCTGCCTCGTGCATGTACACTCTCTGAAAGAAAGAAAGAAAGAAAGAAAGAAAGAAAGAAAGAAAGAAAGAAAGAAAGAAAACATTGATCTCTCTTTCCTCCTGCAGCTCATACCACACACTTCTCTCATTCCCCAACCTTAAATACAGTTGTATTTTAGATTTTTTTTAAAAATCATTATTCAGTATTTACACTCTTATGTTTATGTATGCTAATCAGGTCTGAGGCAGGCAATAAACTACAGTCACTTTTCTTTCCTGCACAGCTGTTTTCCCTAGAACTGAAAATTGTGCTGGTTTTTATTTTGCTTAGCTTTCTATTTATTTAATAATATGACCCTAAATTATTCATCTGTTTATTACTCATCTGCTTGTGTTATCTATATCCTTTCTCAAAACATTAACTCCATTAGGTATTCTATCAATTTCATCTTCTTGAAGAAATCTCTCCAAAAACCCACTGATTTGCTCCACTTTGGACTTTTTGCCTTCTACACAGAGGACACAGCTCTCAGCCTGACGTCTCTCTTCACCATCATCTTAAAGCATCCCTTCACCTCTCTCCTATGCTAGAAGTCCTATTTCTTGTATCTCATTACTCCTTTTCTTGATGTCCTCCCTTGTTTTCCTGGAGCACATCCTCCAGTAACTTTCTTAGAAAGGTCATGAGAAGTAAAAAATTTTAAGACCTTGCATGGCTGACCTTGATCGATAGCTTAGCTAGGTATAACATTCCAGATTGGAAATCATTTTTCTTTAAAATCTTGAAGGTACTTTTCCATTGTCTTCCAGTATCTACTGTTGCCATCTAGAAGGCAGAGCTATCTAATTCCTGATCTTTTGGTGTAATGTTTTTCTTTGTGAAAGTTTATAGAATTTTCACTTTGTCCTCAGTGTTGTATAATTTCTCAATATTGTATTGTTTAATATTCATCCATTGCTCTAGACACTCAATATGTCCCTTCAATCTAGAAACCTATGTCTTTCAATTCTGTGAAAAAATAAGTCAGTAATTATTTGATTAAATAGTTTTAATTACTTATTTGATGATTTATTTCTCTCAATATTGTCTGTTCTCTCTTTTGGAAAATATTATTTGGATTTTGCACCTCCTGAACAGGTCCTCTCATTTTCTTATTTTTTTTGTTTTCCCTCCTTTTCTCTTTTCCTTTAATTACCAAGATATTCCCTCAACTTTATTTTTCAACCCTTCTATTGAGTTTTTCATCTCTCCTCCTGTATTTTCAATTTCCAAGAGCTCTTTTTTGTTCCATGAATGTTACTTTTTAGGACATCCAATCCTTTCTTCATGGGTGCAATATCATCCATTATCTCACTCAGAATATTATTAATTTTGTTTCTGTTTTTGGAAGTTTTCATTTCCCTGCATGATCTCTGTTCTTCCAAATTGCTTTCCCCCCCCCTGCCCTTTTTTGGGGGGTCTCTATCTCCTTTTTGAGGCTTTTCTCAGATTTCTGAGAAATCCTTGTTGTCTGCTCATGTTTGCAAGTGGTGGACTGAAACACTGATTGGAAGCTGTGTGGGACAGGGCACTCATTGACTGTGGTGATAAAGGATGTTACTATAGGATGACTTGCCTGGGATGATTGTTAGGCAGCCTCTGATAATTGGCATCTTTAGATCTCTGATGTAACCCACAGGGAAGACTTGTACCCTACAGACAGGTCTGATCACCTCCTTTCTGGGAGCCAAGTGAGGGAATAGGGCTGAGGTTCTCACCATTTAATATGCCTGGAATCACTTACTTCTCCTGTTTTAAGTATAGTGTCTTCACTCCTGACAGTGTCAAGTGTCCCACCAGTCCAGAGACCCTCAGTTTTACTCTAGGGAATAAACTTCCAGTCTTCTGCAGAGGTTGGGGTGGGTAATAACCCAGTGACATGGAACTGGGAAAAGAGTTTCAGGAGCCATCACCTGAATAGCTTTAAACAATCTTATTTTAGCTTTCCCTTGACCTTAACTGCCAGAGGTACCCAAAACTACCAATTCCTGAGCTCTCTAAGGATTCTGCAGTTTGACACAGGCTGTTCCTGGCTTTTTCCACTACCAGCTTAGAAGTCAGTGTTCTTGAATCTGTTAAGTCAGTTACCACTCAACTATGTGATTTCTAACCTTCAAAACTATGTTGCTGTTTTCTCCTTCCTTATTATTCCCAAACCTTGAGGGTGTCTGTCTATCTCTCCCTCTCTCTCTTTTTTGAGTTAAAATTCACACAACAGGGCGCCTGGGTGGCTCAGATGGTTAAGCGTCTGCCTTCAGCTCAGGTCATGATCTCAGGGTCCTGGGATCGAGTCCCACATTGGGCTCCCTGCTCCTTGGGAGCCTGCTTCTCCCTCTGCCTCTCTCTCTCATGAATAAATAAATAAAAATCTTTAAAATAAATAAATAAATAAATAAAATTCACACAACATAAAATTTAACTTTTGTAATGTTAACAATGTGGTGGCATATAATACATTCACAATGTTGTGTAGCCATCATCTTTATCTAGTTCCCCAACATTTTCATCACCTCAAAAGAAAGTACGTTTTCATTAACCAGTTTCTTTCTACTCTCCCTGCCCTTGGCAACCATCAATCTGCTTTCTGTCTCAATGAATGTATCTATTCTGGATCTTTCTTATAAGTGGAATCATACAACATGTGACTTATGTCTGTATTTTTTCACTTAGCATATTTTCAAGGTTCATCCATGCTGTAGCATTTATCAGTATTTTATTCTGTTTCATGGCTGAGTAACATTCCATTGTATGGATATACCACAATTTGTTTTTCCAATTTATCCATTCATGGATTTTTGGGTTGTTTCCATGTTTGGCTATTGTGGATAGTGCTGTTATGAATAGTTGTGTATATGGATTTATTTCAGTACCTGTTTTCAGTTCTTTTGGATATATAACTAGGAGTGGAATTGCTGGGTCATAAGGTAATTCTATGTTTAACTTTTTGAGAACTACTGATTGTTTTCCACAGTGGCTGAACAATTTCACCTTCCCACCAGCAATGTACAAGGGTTTCAGTTTTTCTATATCCTTTTTTTTCTTAATTATTATCAACACTCCAGTGAGTATGAAGTGGTATCTCATTGTGCTTTCAAATTGCATATTCCTAATTGCTAACAATGTTGAGCATCTTCTCATGTGCTGGTTGGCTTTTGTGGCTTTATGTCTTTTTTTTTTTTTTTTAAGATTTACTTATTTATTTTAGAGAGAGAGAGCACAAGCAGGAGGGGCAGAGAGAGAGGGAGAGAGAATCTCAAGCTGACTCTGTGCTGATTACAGAGCCTGATGAGGGGCTCAATCTCACAACCATGATATCACAACCTGAGCTGAAACCAAGAGTCAGACTCTTAACCAACTGCACCACCCTGGCACCACCCCCTGTTTTAAAAAGTAACCTCTGTGCCCAATGTGGGGCTCGAACTCTTGACTCCAAGATCAAGAGTTGCATGCTCTTCCAACTGAGCCAGCCAGGCGCCATGGGTTTATGTCTTTTTTTGATTGCCTTCCTTTTTTAAAGGTTTTATTTATTTATTTGAGAGAGAGACAGAGAAAGAGAGAGCACGAGTGGGGGGAGAGGCAGAGGGAGAAGCAGACTCCCCGCTGAGCAGGGAGCCCAAAGCAGGGCTCAATCCCAGGACTCTGAGATCATGACCTGAGC